AAATCAAGTAGGTGACAGACTCCCAACCAAAAAGTTACACAGAGCACCTTTAAATAGTGCTTACATTCATATTTTCTTATCTTGACTGTTTGGTATTGGGTTACGCTTTTTAACATGGGATACATACCTGCTACTGAGATGCAGACAAACCTGTTTCTTAATGTACACTCAACGCCAAGTTCCTCAAAAGTATCACAACAAGTGTACGTATGTGTGTGTTGAAGTGAAGCTCAAATGTCTCACTTTCTTCTCACTTTCTTCTGTCCAGGACCATCCACGGTCTGATCTACAACGCTCTGAAGCTCTTCATGGAGATGAACCAGAAGCTGTTCGATGACTGTACACAGCAGTTCAGGGCTGAGAAAAACAAGTGAGAGCAAGAGCCCCCTCTGTCCCACAGCCAATATTGAAAGTCGCTCTGCCTGATTTATGTCCATGTGGTAAAATTTGTCAAGCCCCAGTACAGATACAGTATATTGTAAAAGCACCTCTTGAGGTAAAAATGAGACGACTGTGCGCTGTATCTAATTATAAAGCATTTTACTGAGAATTAGGGAGTGCACAGTGTTGTCTAACCTCTTAGAAATTCATCGTGGTAAATAATTAAGATAGTAGGATGTGTTGGGAAAGCGAGGAATAACTTTGGACCATTTCAATAATTTGAGACCATAAAAAGGATCATAAAAAGCAACTTTAACTTGTCCTTAGTCGGAATAAATGTGTATTTTGTAGATGCACATTTTGTAACTAAGACTTGCATTTGTTCACAGAGAAAAGGCAAAGTCTAAAGAACGCGAGGAGGCTTGGATTAAGATCGAAAACCTTGCCAAATCTAATCCACAGGTGAGCAGTCCTCTCTTGTCTGTGTCTGTGTCTTTGTTTACGATTTTACTCTAATCATCAAGATCATATCAGTGCTACTGTAGAGGAAGGGAAAGACAGATGTTGGCCTTGTTATCATGTCACCCATTGAGTAATATAAAAGTCATAACAACCTTTTAAACTATGTGTGTATAGTCATTATTATTATTTAGTTTGGTCTTGAAATTAAAGTTACACTGTGCACATTTCTGATGAAAGATCTGCCATCTGCTTGTGTGTTTTGCTTTGCCTGGAATGTCGGCATTAACGATCTTGCGTTTATTCAATTACAAGCTCTACAGGCATTGATTTAATTACAGGCTTTTATTGCTAAAGATACATGGCCTGTGGGTGTCACCTGCTCGTCTCTGTCGAGTTAAAGTCATTTAATACCTTACTGTGGAACATTCCAGGCAAAGCAATAATCTCACCATGGACACAAACAGGTGGCTAAGCAGTGCACCTTTTTAATATTGCTTGTTAAATTATAGAATGATGTGTTCCATGTACATAGGGCCAGGAGTAGCCAGTTTTAGTATTCATTGTAGTGTAATTTCATAAGGAAATCATCCAAACAAAAATCCATTAATTATAGTAATACACTCAGTATCCCATTATACCAGTATTAAAATTGCCTGAACCTTCTCAAACAATATTATAGGCCAGGAGAAGAAGTTGTGGGGAAATCCAACCACATTTATATGACTGACAATAAATGATCCAGTCAATATATAAAACCAATCTAGTTTCCTTTTTAAGAGCTGTTTTAGATCCTATTGAAAGTGTGTATTCACGGCTGCGGTCAGTGAATTGTGCTGGTTGGTTCTTCTTTGCATGCCACTCAAAGCTCTTCTCCACCCTCTGTTTTGTTTCCCTTTCTGTTCACATAGTTCTCTTTGTATGTTGATTCCTCTGACCTCAATAGTCCTGTAGCAATGGAGACGGATGTCCCGTTGATAGAAGATGTTCAGAGGTTAAAAAAGACAGTTGAGGAGGGCGCCACTCAGGTAAACCTGCCTTCTCTCTGTCATCTCTCACAGTATTTTAGAGCTAGATTATATGATTTGTTTATTTGTACTTTTGTTTATTTTCTTTTATAGTCTTATTTTTGTCTTAGACCGAACAAATTATCCAAACCAAAATGTGGCATTGGACTACTAATACTGGAATCACATCCCCTCTGTGTGCTTTTGTCCTTCTATGTTCTTAGTTTAGATGGAACTATTTGTTTAATTTTATTTTAAGTTACATTTTAATTTCAGTTAATTTATTTTTTGAACTATTTTTCATTTCATATTATGAACCGGCCCCAAATCTCAGTTTCTCAACATTCGCTACAGAATTGTCCGTACCACTTTATAATAACTGCAATGCCTTAATAAAACATGAACAAAGACTTAATTCCTAATGAACAAGTAGTTTATTAAGAATGATTCAGGCTCAGTAACTACAGAAATAATGCCTCAAACTTCTTAAGTACTTAAAATTAGTTACTAAGCCTGAGTCATTTTTAATAAACAATTTGTTCATTGTTGAATGAAGTCTTTATTAATGCTTTGTTAAGGCTAATTAAGCTGTGCTTATTATAAAGTGTAACCATATTATCTGCTGATTCTAGGTTCCCATTACATTTGATCTGTTGATTTTGTGTGTTTTGATTATTTCTATATTTTAAACATAAATCTATGTTCAAATCTCTCTATAGCTACTTCTATACCGACAGAACATCACATCTCAGTCTCAGAGGGTTTGACTCTGAAGTGCGAGAAGAGTTTCACTTTCCATAGACATGCCATCCAGTGACTCTGGTTCATACATGAGTTTACAGTTATGTGTGGAATGGAAAAGTTCATTGGGCAATATCCACTCACATTATAACATCCTGCAATACAAAGAGAAATCCTCTCACATCATTAGATTTTTTTTATTAAAGAAATCAACTTCAGCCATGTTCTAGTTGTTTCCCCTCACCAATTGAACTCTCGTCATTGCATTTGGAGTGATTTGTGAATATTTAAGCAGTCTTTAATTAATTGCTTATTTTCAAGACACCATATTACTTATCAATTATTTTACGTTTGTGTTGACATTTACAGCGACGTTGGCTCCTATTGGGCACTGCAGGTTTTTAAAGCATTGATTGAGCGGACTTTACTAAAACTAAGTGGTTTTAGATAAATATTTCAATTTTAATACGTGCAAATGATAACAAAGCGATACACGGGTGTCATAGATTATATATAGAGGACACAAGCACAATATGTCTTCTTTAAAGAGTTGATTTTACACTACTTACACTTCTGATCTGTGTTATAATGTTGTTTCCTCATCATAAACCTACTTGGAGTTGTGTTTTATTAATGTGTTTCATTATGTTTTTAAACTCACACCACAGACCTTCACTAGATCATTTGGATAATTTTAGCCTGGGATTGCCAATCTCTACTGAACAAAAGGTAAAAGGTAGCTGTTAATTTACTACTAAGCTGCTGCTTCATGACATCACAAGGTGGAACATATCATTTTGAGCTTTTAGACAGAACAATAATAAAGGATTACTCATACATGTGTGAATGAAACAAAACACATCTCCAGGTATGTTTTGATGAGGTAACAACATTGTAACATGGCTTAAAGCTCACAAGAGTCAATTTTGCATAATATATGTACGCTTCAAACCTATAGAAAGAATATAGATAGTTTTTAATGCCAGGTTTGTTTCTTGATAACCTGATTTTGTTTCTCTGGTGTGCTCAGTTGCAGCTGGAGCAGAGGAAAGAACGGCCCATGGTGCGGCGTAAGTCCGAGCTGCCTCAGGATATCTACACCACAAAAGCCTTGGAGTCCCACCGTAGAGCTGAAGAAATGCTGACCACCCACGACGGACTCTAGGTGGCGCTGTCTCCGTGTTCGACGCCCCTCCTCCCATGCCCGACAGCCATGAACTCTGTGTGTCGCCATGGTTACGCCATGATGGTGGCCTGGCTCCGCCCTCCTTAGTTCGTTTCATTCCTGCAGTTTGGACCCCTTACTCAGACTTTCTCAGGTTTTTTTCTGTTGGAGAGGAGGCTCGTGTTGGTTGTTTAGCCCTTGCCATATTCACTGTGTTGTTTGCTCCGATGTTCTCCTCTGAGGGGCACTGTTTACCCGACAGTAGGGTCCTGGCAACTGGAGAGCTTTAGTCTTTTTTTAAAAGAACATTTGGGACAGTGTAGTGTGCATACCAGACCAGAGGGTGACAGTGTTTTTTTCTATAGCACAATAGTGTACGCTCAGAATAAGCTCCTGATACACTTGAGGGCCTTTTATAAGTGGACACCTGAATGCTGAAAACTGGTGCATTGTTTTATTAATAACTCCTCACTATGGTTGTAAGTAATTATTAAGTAATAAATAAAATAATTTAAATTAGTGTGTATATTTATACTAAATTAAGCCATTTGGATCAAATTGGCTGATTAATAACTGTGTAATTAACTGTTTGCTGAAAAAGCTGCTGTAAAGTGGTCTGCTCCACTTTAAAATAATGAACAGAAAATTTCAGAATTGTGTTGTGTGGGGAGATCCAGAAAATATGACACTATTATCACTAAACTAACAAAATGTTTTTGTGGACCTATTGTCGTGTAAACAGTTTTTCTTTTTCTAAATCGTTACTGTAAATGTGGAACTTCGGAAAAAACATGCGGCGAGTTCCATCATTCCTGCTTCCTTTGCATCGGATTGACTCCGGAACTGACTGGCTCACTGTCCCGAACCTGTGTCCTGCTTCTGTCTGAAAGGGAACGGCTGCTCTCCCACTGCACTGTCGTCAGAGGACCTGCCCTGGGGCAGTCTGCGCTCAGTGCCAAGACTCTCCCCTGGTCTCCCCTGGTCGCCGTGGTGACCGACACGAGGACTCCTGCCTGGTTGTGGTTGTGTTCTTCTTTGTGGTTCTCTAGCACACTGAGGCCTGTTCTTGGCCACCGGTGAGGGCCCTCTGACACTATTGGCTTGGTTTGTGCCATACTTTGCAACTTTTTTGTGCTTGCTTCTTTCCGTTCATTGGCAGTTTTAGAAAAAAAGAAAAATGGACCTGAAAGACAGTTTAAACAATGGTACTCTGGCTTCCCTCTCCATGGAAGATGGACGGGTAAACATTTGGCTTAGCTGAGACAGGTGAGGCTGCCTAAAATGGGGGCAATGTATTACAAAAATGTCTTGGAAAATATAGTCTTAAAATATATGAAATTTATGTTGACATAATTGTGATCTTGTTCTCCATGTCATTCCTGCATCTTCAGCTTTTAGATAGTAGCGTTTCATGGAACAGCGCTAAAGTGACGCGTGTGGCTCTAGTTTTAGTTTCCATATTCCAGCCCCAGTACCATTGTTTAAAGTGTGCTGGTCTGCACTGTGGATTGGTTTGGGCCGTACTCTGAACTGACAGCCTGCTCCCTACGGCCTCAGAAGCAGGCTCTGAAAACAAACTGACGTACCTGTATTCATACTGTCTTTGCTTGAATGCAAAAAGCTGTAAATGAAGAACCATGTTAAACATGTACTTAAACCTGGAGGAATGCCATCACGGACTTCTGTTGTAGACTCCATTGCATTTATAAACCAGTCTTGCTTGCTGAGAGAGATGTTCTATGGATTTTATGACTTTGAGTACGAGCTGTGTGCGATGATTTCTGTGCTGATAACTCATCTGTGTTGAGATGACTTCAGTGATGGCTTGTGCTCACTGCAGCCTCTTTGCAGTCTTTTACTTTTAACATATTATTTCCAAAAAATAACTTAAAGTGTCCTTTTGTATGTGACCTGTACTATATGATTCATTTAATATTGTATATATGATTTACCTTGTTTCATGTAGTGTTATATATCTAGATTAATTTTGTACAAATTGTCCCTCTGTACAGAATAAAACATCAATAGCAACTAAAACAACTCCTGGCACTTTTTTACCCCTGCTTAGTGTTTTCATAAATAGACTTATTTTTCAGCGTAGACCTAAGGTTGTGTTTCACTTTTGCCGTTGGATCCAGTTTAGGTCTTAATGTAGCTTGACTGAGTTCTGTTCTAGTCCTGGTTTAACCCTGATCAAGATCCAGGTTTAGTCCCAGTTTAGTCCCAAACTGTTTGGTTGCTGTGGTGATTGTGCAAATGTAAACTTATTCTTGCAGTACCAGCCTGTGCCATGCTTTAGCAGTATGCTGATTGGCCACTAGAGGGAGCCATGCGTCTGTACAGGAGGCCTAACAGGGTGTGATGAGTGTATGAAAGCTGCATGTGTGTGTCTCACTGATTGTAGCTTTGACAGCACTTTTACGCCCTTAATATAGATTTGCTGAGTGCGTGCAGTGGCAGAGTGGTTAGCATTTTATCACAATGAACTAGATTGACTGATCAAAGCACGACCCTATGTCAGGAAGCAGCAACCAGCTTAGGTGTCATTTTACATGGACATTACTTTAGTCTTTCACTCCTAATTGTCCTCAGGCACTGTTGGGTAGGTCTGTCATCATAATTACTATTTCAATGATCGATGGAACAATAAATCTGTGGGAACGTTTTGCTATTTTTCTGTACTATGATTAGATTTTGAGCTGTACAAGGATGAATAAATCACTTTTATGACTTGTCATTACAAATACAAACTAACTATTAAAGTGTTTCATTCTACTATTTATTTTAACTCTATTGTGCATGTATAATATTTTGAGGGAATAATTCTGCTTTGGGGTTATTCTGTCAGTGGCATGAATTCATTTCAGTATTATCATTAATCATCTATACTTTCTTTAACAATATATCGTACTTCAAAACTTGTTATCGTGACAGGCCAGCCAACCAAGGTGCCAGGACATTGAGCCAGGATGTGTCCAAAAGCAACTATTTATCTGATATTGGGGTGCAGATGCAGTGTATACCACAGCTATACATGAGCCTTGAAGAGAGATGGGGTGACTGGCTGGTTTACCCCCCTGACACAACTAATTGTCTGCATAGAGTTTTGTGTTGTACAAATCCAAATAAAGTGCCATTAAAATTCCTGAGATTTATTTTGAGAGATGCATTTGATAAAGCTGTGCCTTGTTCTACATTTTAACAAATGATCCACAAAATGTTCTGTTGATAAGCCCATTGGGGAAGTCATTCTTCTGTAGCAGTACGACCTAAAGCAAAAACATTCCAAACAAATAACTGCCCACCAACAGCCAACATGGCCGACTTCCACTTAAACCTGGTGCCTACCGCAAATGGTGCATGTCCCTCACATTATTCTATTACTGACTGCTTGATATAACATTAGCATTGCCACACACGTTCAAAAGCACACAGCAGTCTTGTGTATTCTCAAGCAGCCACCTCACTTTCTTATCTCAAACTGCTTTCCATTATACTCATGACTCCTCATTTAGAAAAGAAAACAGTATTAGGCAACTGACACAAGCAAAGACATGTGTGATTTTAATCTGCACTTTACTCATATCCAAGTAACTACTGTACCTAACTAAAATTACAGCTCACTAACCCGATGCCTGGCAGGTCAAGTCCCCTCATTAGTATTGCTACTGTTGTGTCCTTGGGCAAGACACCTCACCCACCGCACATGAATACGTTTGCTTTTGACTGTTAGCTGAGGTTGTAGAGATGTCATTAAGAGCTCTTACTCATGAGTGTGGAAACTCCAGTGGACCACCGTGTTTCTTGTGTCGTATGAACTCATGTTTACACACTTGTGAACGGCAGCAGAGCGTGAGCTGTGGATTTGGGCTGCTAACATTAGATAGCGTATCAAATACCTTTAGTGCAGAGCAGTTTGTTTAACTAAGAGGGCTTCGTTTTTGACACAAGTCTTGTACCAGGATACAGCTACAGAAAAGTGCGATCACTTTCTATTAAATTACTATTGCCCAATCTGCATGTTTATGGAAAACATCTATTCTAAAAGTGACAGTGGAAATGCATTGAAGGAAGAATGCTCCAGTGGCTGCTTCATCAGGGCCAGTTCCCTGAGGACTGTTCCGTGTGTGACAGTGTGACTCTGGGGTTACCCTCGGATAGAACCAGGGGTCAGCTTTACTCAGCTGCAAACGGCGTGATTCAAAGGCTGTTGGGCTGACAGAGGCAGCGGGCGTCATGTTCATGCAACTGAAGAAAACAAAAAAGACTCAAAGAAAATAAATGTCTGTCACACGTGTGTCCTGACAGCTTCTGCCCGAGTCTGTCCCACGAGACCCTCACAGGACCCTCCATACCCCCTCAGCCACTTGCCCTGGACCTCGGCCCCCTGCTCCTACCCTGGACCTCCTCAGTGTCCTGCCCTGGACCCACTCAGCCCCCTGCTCTGAACCTTAGCCCCCTGCTCCAGACCTCCTCTAGACCTCCTCATCCCCTTGCTCCTGCTCCAGACCAACTCAGCCCCCTGCTTCGAACCTGCAAAACTGAACACCACAGCTGTGTTTGTTTGTCACCACCTCATGGAGAGGGCTCTGCACATAACCACCGACATTAAGAGTACTTTAACACTGTGCTAAAACGGTTAACATGGGTATAAGGAATAGCCACATGTGAAAATATCTGTTTTAAAGAAGTTTATAAAGTGTATTGTTGTTTTGAAATATAATGACTTTCATAGAATGGTCTTCCACTCTCAGTTCCTCAGACTCCTTTCCCCAAAGTAACAGGTCTGTTTCTGACCTATAAGAAACACACATGTACAAGTACTACATGTGTGGTACATTAGGTCTACTCTCTCACACAATGCTGAATAGTGACAAGTAAAAAACATGCAAGAGCACAGTACTACAGCAGAGAAAAAGAAGATAAGACAAGAGAGAATGTAGAAGAGTTAATTACATGTAGTATTATATTGTACACTGTACACAGTCATTGCAGATGTGTAGGGCATCAGATCAGTCAATGGTCGCCCAGGATTCTTAGTACCTCACATGTGGTGTGTGTGTGTGTGTGTGTGTGTGTGTGTGTGTGTGTGTGTGTGTGTGTGTGTGTGTGTGTGTGTGTGTGTGTGTGTGTGTGTGTGTGTGTGCGTGTGTGTGTGTGTATGTATCACATTGTGGCTAGTAAAAGCACCTAAAAATGTGTGTGCATGTGTGTGTGTGCACGTGGGCGTGTTATTGTGCTTTTGTTTGTATGTGCTTGTGCGTGTATGTGTGTGTGTGTGTGTGTGTGTGTGCGTGTGTGTGCGTGTGTGTGTGTGTGTGTGTGTGTGTGTGTGTGTGTGTGTGTGTGTGCGTGTGTGTGTGTGCATGTGTGTGTGTGTGTGCATGTGTGTGTGTGTGTGTGTGTGTGTGCGCGCATCGGGGTGTGTGTGTGTGTGTGTGCACCATGCTGCTGGCTGCATTAGCTAATGATGTCTGTTTATGTGCGGAGCTGTAATGATGTGAGCCTGAGGCAGAGACA